AAACGAGCCGAACACAAACACACTTTTTGAGCTCGAAATATAAACGAGCTGAATCGGCTCGTTTGCACCCCTACATACAATATATATGGCTCTCCAGAGAGAGAGAGAGAGAGAGAGAGAGAGAGGGGGAGAGAGAGAAATTTACATACATACCATTATTCAATTCTTATGTATTTACATATTCAACATCTAGATTTCAATTTCTAAATGCACCCTCTCAAAATAATAATAATAATAGTAAAAAAACTTCATTTATTATTAAAGTAGATATCATTCAACTATGGGGAGATTTACATACATACCACCTAATTTCTACATATTAATATTTCAACCATTTAAACTTCAATTTATAATTACAAACCACCCAACCTATGCCGAAAACATAGGAATCTGTAAGTAAAAATTGAAGTTTGAGTGGTTAATATGTTAATACAGAGGAATTGGGTGGTGAGTATGTAAATGCTCCTTTAACTATAATACTTAAAGAGAGTTGATTATCCCTAAAATAGTTACATCAGCATGCTTGTACATAGAAATTTAAAAATAAGAAAATAGTTTTTTGTAGAGATATTTTCTCTTAATAGAAAATTTATTTATCTTCTCATTGAATTTTTATTATCCATACATATTTTATTAAAAAAAATAAACAGTTATTTCCTTAGTTGCTCAAAACTTCTATGAAAGTCTATTACATATAGAGCTGTCAAAATGACTCATTGTTTGCGAATAGTTCGTGTTCGCCTCGTTAAGAAGACTGTGTTGGATTAATTCGTTAAGTTAACGAGTTGAACAAGAACAAATATTTGTTCGTTCGTGTTAATTGATAAGTAATATTTCTAAAAGAATTGACTACAAGATTACAAAGATTTATACTCAATTAAAATTTTTAATTAAAAAAAATAGAATAAAAATACACTAAATTATGTTTAAATGATATTTTAATATAAATAACAATTTTAAATCTCACTCTAACCCTTAACATCCTACGTTTGCGTGACTAGAGTTGTCAAAACGGCTCTTTGATCACGAATAAACTTATGTTCAGGTCGCTAAACAAACGAGCCGAACACAAACACATTTTTTTTTTATTTGAAACATAAACGAGCCGAACATAAATACTGATATTGTTTAACAAGCTAAAAATGAGCCGAGCTTAGGCCAACTCATGCTCAGCTCGTTTACACCACTACCTATATATGTGAAATAAGCATTTCAATGCATCCTGCATTTCGTCCTTCATTTAAAAGTCCATTTTTTAGTTTATAATTAAATAATCATAAAATTTAGACTGTTTGCCTTTGAACCTGAATATGAATCAAAATTTAGGCTAAAAAAGTCAGTTTTCATGATGACCACATATCCATACAGACCCTCCATCTATAACAAAATTTCAGAGCTCTCCACAAACTTTATTTTCTCTTTTCAATTCTCTATTCTTTTCTTTATTCTTAATTACATTTGCATAAATAGCAAGTCCACTAATATATCAATGGCCAGTACTCTCAGTCGTCAAAAAAAGCTCATTATTCATCATGTTTGCCTTGTTAAATAGCTCATACTTGAATCATTCGTTAAACAAGCAAGCAGAATACAAACAAAATTTTTAAACTCGAATTATAAACTAAGAAAACACGAACAACCTTCTGTTCGATTTTGTTCAACTTATTTATGCTCAAAATAAAGAATATATATACAATAATATATTATACATCATAGCTTGTGTTATCACGTGATTCTATATTTTTTATTGCATAATAACGATACAGATTTGACTTCAATACCCTACATCATTTTTTTAAAAAAAATAAATTAAATGAGTCAATTTCAAGCACAATAAGAATAAGATAGAACAACAACATATAAATCTAGTTGAACACGAACACACTTCTCGAGCAAATTTTAAGTTCAGCCCATTTACAACACAATCCAAATAGTACTATTTACATGATGTTTTCCATCCACATATACAGAAAATTAGCCATTAGAGGAAATTGAATCATACAAGAGTTCGTTTGTTTGAAACTAGAAAGCATCTCTTTATTCCAAAAATAAAAAATGCTCCACATATTTGCATCATTTTATAAATGCAATTAAAAAATCAATAGTTTATTTTCAAATGTACCATCCAAAGGGGCCTTAACATTAAAATAGACTTAGAAAATGTGCTACTTTCAAATAAGCAAAGTTACAAGATTAAACGCTATGTAGAAAGCAGCCAAACACATTTTCAACGAAACAAAAAGCTGATGGAAAGAACACAAGTTCTGAAGAATACAAACAGAGTATCATTTTAATAAGAACAAGCCAATGTTAATGAGAGAAATAGAAGAACAAAAATAAAAAAAAAGAGGACATTTAAGTAAAAATTTAAGGTCGGATCTGTAAAAATATTTGACAATTTGAGGCCGATATTTCGATCGAAAATGGGAATATTCAAGTTGAATAAGATACATTTATTGGGCTAAAGTTCAATTCACACATCTTCCAATTAATCATTTTCTTTATTATTATTACAATATGAAACAACTCAATATCCAGAAAGATAAAAAAAAAGTATGTATAAGTTGGTGTAATATTAACACAGTCTACATAGACATTACATTCTAAACTTATTTTTAAATGATTAATATTAAAAAACAAACAAAAGAAGGAAATCTACAATGAATGATACTACTATGCTTTCCCTTTTCTTTTACCATCTACAGCCTGCAAATAAATGAGTTAATAGAATTAGGTTTATCGATCAGCTCGAAGTTTTATTTAGGAAAAGAGATGGTTCTGAAAGACCGAGAGACGGATTTGAACAAAGGCATACTCATAATTCACCAACAAAGTGTCTTAATTAATCCAATACAATGTGATTCTATATGGAGTATAAAAAAGAACACACGACAAGTTACGAGCTACGACCACGTTTTCGTTTGAATTTTTCGAACCAAAGTTCTATAACAGAATGATGTAATGATACGAATCTAAAACACGAGATTTATGTAACCATAGGCCATAACATTTTAAAGTTTAAATTTTTAGCTAATAGGGCGACATGTACTTTAAAGGTTTGAATATATAAAGTAATGACATTGATGATAAAGATGATGATGATGATGATGATGATATATATATATATATATATATACATATTATATATATATATCTGTGTGTGTATCTGTGTGTGTATTCTGATATGAGGTGAAATATGAAAACATGGGAGTTTATTACCATGAAGACCCGAGATGACAAAATCATGAGAACTTGATCCAATTTCATCTTCATTCCCCCATCATCCTTTTTAAGCTTCAAGCAGTGAATTATACAACTAAAATCCTATGCCTGCTATTATATGTTGAATATTCAATTATTAATGACTAGCATTAATCAAAAGTGCTCTCCCGTTATTGGGAAGGGCAATTAACCATAGGGGCTTGTGTCTATGGGAACCTCGAACACCAGATCAAAAAGATCTCACAAAATGAGAGCAAAATCTCCGAACATTCTCTTATTTACAATCCAATTTTACTTTTGAAAATTTGACCCTCCAAAATTTTCTCTCAAAAAAAATGAAAATAAATGCAGAGTTCATGGAGAGCGATCGGAATTTTTGGAACCCACACTTTCCTTTTATAATAATACCCTATAACACGTACAAATAAGGGGATCTACTTAATGTTTAACATGATCAGCTTCTGCATCGTTTTTAATGCTTGCCATTTTTCTAGTCCAGGAAGTAAAAAACTGTCCTTTTCTCCAAGCAGAAGGCATTATTGATATATCATTTTTTAGCACAAGCACGCTAAAATTAATACAATATTCACTACTATTTCAACCAAAAAATAGAAAGCATTTCAGTTACTTCATGTACCTTCGATTGGAAGTATCTCATGGTCAAGACAATAATATCCCGCAATCTACAAAATAACAAAGTTTGAATCAGGATTATGCAAAGGGACAACAATGATACATAATGTAAGAACGCCCATTAGCTTCCTCAGTCAGTGTAAAGGAAACGACGATGTAAAGAATTATAGACCAAAAAGCAAAAAAGCGCTAAACGGTCGTTTGAGCATGTTGTAAAAACAATCCTTTTTTTGAAATTAAATTCGATAAATTTGGTCGTTGGCAAAATATATTCATTGTACAAACTTTATGTCATTGCATTTTCAATTTTCATTTTCTATCCAGATCACATTGTGCCATCTCAGCGTAAGATTAGCTCCATTGAAATCAGTAAAAAATGCAAAACAGAATCAAAATCTATCTTTGTATCCATCCCCACGTTGGTTATATATAAGCATTTTCTCCAGTAATAACATAAATGTTCCACAAATATCTCTTTATTTTATCTGTGCATTTATCATCATTCTTAGTTTTTCTACGCATTTTGTACAAGCAAAAGAAATAGTTGAGTGAGGTTAGGATGGGTAACAAAATTTTCATGTTAATGTAATGTAGTTTGTTCTCATATGAAATACTCCCAGAAAATAAAAACCAGGTTGAAAAATAATACATCATCAATATAAAAGCAAGAATATAAAGATATATTTTTGAAAATTCAGGTCTAATGCCTCCATATAGAACAGAGGCATGATAGTGTAAAGACCTAATAATGACATAGGATGAAAAATAGAACCTAAATAATATACCCAGATTTCCATCTATAAAAATAAATAATATACTCAAACCCTAGAAAGCTACCATGCCCTTTCCAAGCAGGGTTGTTTGTTTGCAACTAATTAGAATTCAAATGTATTTTTAAGTACTACGTAAAATAAATACAACAAATTTGCAATAATAAAGATTGTTTGGTTGATTGTAAAATAAATTATGAAATTTGGAGTTTAGATCGAAGTAAATTGAATAAATATAGTCTAAATAGATTATTATAATATTTTAAAAAAGATTTAGCAAAATGGAAGCCCCCATAGGATGAGCGCGAGCGATGGTGTTTGAGGAGATGGTAGCAATGCATGAATAGGTGTAGCTAGAGGGAGAAAGAACAGCTAGAAGTCACATTTAATAAGTCATGAGCAAAAGAAACTGAATGTTGTGAGAATGCGAGGCATGAGTACAAGGATATCGAGAACTCAATGATAGCGAGGGATTGTGAGGTGAGGCAAGAATAGGTTCACAAAGAGGTTATGAGAAGAGAGGTCCCAAGGTGCAATGAATTTGGAATTTACAAAAAATCAAAAGAATTCTTCATTCATTAAAAATGACCCATTTGAGTTATTCCAAATCTCTCAAGGAAAAGCTTGAATTTGTTTAAATCTTTAATGTTGAGAAATTAGGACGAAGAAAAACAAGGAATCGACACAAATTCAAAAGAACACACAGAGATTTACGAGGTTCGGCAAAGATGCCTACATCCTCGGGAGCAGAGCTACGACTTCCTTTTCAATATTCAGAAAAGAGTACAAAATACAAGATTCAGAATCTCATAGACTCTCAGTGACTCCCCTAAGATTACAAACATGACATATATATAACCCTATAGTACAATATGTAATTACTTAAATTACCCTTATACCAAACCGCGAGGTGTTGCCCCTGCACCCCCAACCCACATAATGAAACTCCCTTGATTGTACAGATCCTTCAGCTCCACCCCGCTCGTGGGCTCCGCTCCGCTCTAGCATCTGTCCCATTTATGGTATATGAGCCATACCCAACAAATCTCCATCTTGGCGAATATCCAGCCCCTTAAGAGAAATACATATGCCTGACAAATCTTCACCTTGGCGAATATCCAGCCTCTTAGGAGAAATACATATACCCAACAAATTTCTATCTTAGCGAATATCCAACCTCTTAGGAGAAATACATATACCCAACAAATCTCCACCTTGGCGAGTATCCAGCCCCTTAGAAGAAATGCATATACCGAACAAATCTCCACCTAGGCGATTATTCAGCCCCTTAGAAGTACATATGCCTAACATTTAACCAAACAGTAACAACGTTTAAATTTGCATTTGAAATACAACAAACTCAAAATGCATACAACCAAACAACGCCTAAATACAAATGCCATCAAGCTTGTAATCACATTGCCTATGATCTAAAAAAATCATTCCAACTTATATACATATTTCATAGTTGGATAGATATTCTCCGACTGAAGTTCAATTAATTTATTATGTCCCCACGTGTTCTAGTAAGTTTGCCCACTTAAATATCTAAGGAAAACAATAATTCCTTTGTAGCTCCACCTAGCCAAACCGCTATAAATCATTGCGAGCATATCCATATGGCTTATCTTGCTTGGATTATCTAACTCACTAATGCTCTAGCTATTATCCAAGCTACCGTCAACATGTTGCCCTTTTACTATCAATGTTTACTTTATCGCACCAAATAACTTATCAAACATTTAGTCAAAACAGTCATTGCTGTGTCAATCATTTATTTCTACACTTACTTTATTGTGCCTTCTTGTTGTAATATTTCAGTTCACTCTTTCATCAGTGTTAGACAATTATTATTTACCACTCGTATCCAGTAAGCATAGCCAGCTAAATTACACCACTTAACAAAATTTACCCCATTGTTATATCTTATTATATGTTGGAATCATAATAAAACCATAACAACACCTTTCTATCTAGATAATAATTCAACAATCTATAAGCAATAACTTCTTATCTACAACAATTCAGGGACGATAGCTTTCTATCTATAGCAATCCAACAATCCACGTATATTATTATTTCATTTATGTTGTGTAGTTAATTCTAAATTTCAAATTTTGAAATTTTATTTCTTTATGAGATAACTATTTCTCAACTTATTTTTGAATAACTTATTTTTTTCATGGAAAAAGAGAAATAAATCCAATTACAAAAATTCACATTTTCTAATCTCTTTTTTCTCCTACTTTCCGAGATGGTATTAGAATCACTAAGATTCTCCATTCGGCAAGGTCAATAGACCCTTTAGCATGAAATCTTCTCTTCAAGTTGATGATCTCTTCTCTAAAAAAAAAGGAAAGAGTTTGTGAAGCAAGAGCGTCAAAAACACCTGTGAATGATCCTCTTAGAAGGAATGTGGTGGCAAAAGCCACGAAAAAGCTAGCGGCCAAGAAGACAAAAGTAATTGCCATGAAGAAACTAATGGTTGTGGGCTCCAAAAATTCCGACCGCTCCCCGAGATAACTCTATGCATTTATTTTATTATTTTATTTTGAGAGAGCTCTGGAGGGTCAAATTTTCAGAAGACAAATTTGATTATAGATAAGACACTACCCAAAGAGTTCACCCTCATTTTGAGAGGACTTTTTGATCTGGGGTTTGACGTCTCCCATAGCCTCAACCCCTACAATTAATTACTCCTCTCGATAGCGAGAAAACACTTTCGATTAAAACTAGTCATTAAGAATTGAACATTCAACATACAATAGCAGCAGTCTTAGGATTTAAGTTGTAGAATTCATCACTTGAAACTTTAAAGCGAATGGAGACGAAACCAGATAAAGATCCCATGGTTCTATCAACTCAGGCCGTTGTGGTCCCTAAGCTACTTAGTTAAAAGAGGTAATCGACCCAACCTAATAGAAAGATCATTGTCAGGAGCAATGGGTTACGTCGTCCAAGAAATCCATATAGATATGGAGTGAACATTTGTCTAAAGGGACAAATTTAAGTCGACCTTAGCTAACAGAAGAGTTTGTGCCAATTAATTGTACTCTTATGATTCATAACTCAAAGGGTAGGAAGCCGTTGGGAAACATATAGGCTGCGACCGTAACATAGTGGTGTCATTTGGCGGCAACCATCCGGTCAGAGAGCTCGAGTCGTAACCGATATTTTGTCGTGTTATTTGGCATCTTGACCAAGCGGACAAAGGACTCGGGTCACGTCCTTACTGAAAGGTAATTACTTTGATTGTGAATATAAATGCACATTTGATATGACATTCACTTTTTGTGAGCTGAAATCAATTAGAAGTTTGTCACCCTTGACAAACTATTGCGGAGGGTTGACAAAATTTGCTCTTAGTTGTTGTGATTTATTTTAATTTGAGTGTTTTAGTAGACTAATGTAAAATTTTTTATTTAAAAGAATAACACCTCCGGTTGAAATATTGGATCAATACGGTCATCATTAAGGTATTGAACATTTTAAAGCTTTTATATTTAAAGGGGAAACATATAGTTTTATTAGTTAAAGCTTTTCAAAGTATATGTCCTAGCGACTCCCATCTTTATAGGTAGAAAAATCGAACTAGATGATTTGGACTTTTAAAATTTATCTTTAGGATTTGAATATTTATCTCAAAGTTACTAGACTCGTTAACTCCAGTCCATGTGAGGAAAAAGATCAAATTAAAGGGGTGGGACTTACAACTCTATTCTATAGACAAGGCAGTTCGATTAGCCCGCTTAGCATTCTCGAATATAGTATTTGAGCATTCAATAAATTGGTTGGAGCACATGCAGACGCTGATATTTCTCATATTTGATATTTTAAAGAATTTTATAAGCTTTAAAAACTTGCATAAGTTTTTGGCCAAGAAGTTAATATGGACTTCACGTCAGAAGGAACATGCAAGATTTTGAAAATGTGCATAACTAACTTGCTTATATAGACATCTTAAAACATATATAGCTAGGGTTGTAAACGAGCCGAGCATGAACGAGCTCAGGCTTGGCTCGTGTTCGGCTCATTCGAAACTGCTTGTGTTCGAAATCGACTCGTGTTCGAAATCAGCTCGTGAACAGTGTGTTCGTGTTCGACTCAAAATTGACTCGTTAAATTAAATTGAAAAAAAAAATATAAAGTGTTGGATTCGAACCTGTATCAAATGTATGCAAAAGAAGGCACTAACCACATTACCATACAAGGTGTTACGATTTAAACTTAAATATAAATATATATAATATATTATTATATAAATAATATATGTAATATAT